GTTAACACGAGGTCGAAATGGTGAAACATTTATACTTTGCCCGACATGGGACTTTCATGCAATTAATTTATATAAGGGTACATTTGGATCATCTGCACGCCTCATGTCTTTGTCCACATCAACTCCACCATATACTTAGATTTGAAAATGTTTTTTTTTTTTTTTTTTTTTAATTAATTCAAATTAGCTTGTGATTCGAATTTTAATTAGAATCTTACTTGAATTAGAAAATTTTGATTTGTGAGTCTAATAATTTGAATTAAGAAACACAACATCCTCAAATCTATATGCATCACTTTCTCTCTGTCTGAGCATATAGTGGAGTCGATGTGGACAAAGACACCGGGCATGAGGATGATCCAAATGTACCCTTATATAAATTAATTGCATGAAAGCCCCATGTCGGGCAAAGTAGAGTGTATGGACACACACAAACAGACTCTTCATGTTCGGAATTGGGTTTACATAGTCGGAGCTACAGGACATGAAGATGGGTTTAGGGCGCTATGACTTCTTCCTATATATACCATATTACCATCTACATCCACTTTTGAAATGGCTTACGGCTGGCCTGGTTGAGTGGCTCCCTCTTAAAAAAGCTGTTCCACCAAAGGCCAAAGCTCAGGATGATAAGGTGGTCAAATTAAAGATTACTTTCTTTAACTCATCTCATCTCTGCCTTTTAATGTCCACCCTTTCTTTAACCTTTAACCCTTTTTTATCCATTGTCCAAGTACTTGGATTAAATTAACAACTCAATAATCAATTTGCCTACTCTAATATTCCAATTAATAGATGCTAAAGCAAACAGACACGTTTAATTTACAGTAATTAGTAAGCTCTTCATGTGTACATGTTGTGTATAATTAGATAGCAAGATCTGACTACACTTTGATAAACAGTAACACCACTTTTGCCTTTACAGTACAATTAATTATCTGGATCCGACCCCATTAATCTGATTTCAAATAGTAAATTCGACTTTAATCGATCATATGCACACTTGACGTATTGTGATCCAATAGTTACTCTGGATCCCACCGGAATCTGATTCGTTTACAGCCCTAAGAGCTCTTAAACTCTTAATGCAGCAAAAAATGTGAGATAACTAACTTTTGAGCACGTAGCTCAACAAGCTTTAGGTGTACCTACGATTTGCTTTTGCTATAAAGTCCAATCGTTTTAAGTTTCAACTTTCTTCTTTCTCTGATAAACATTTTCTTGTGATGAGTCTTCCATGTCAATCCCCCTCATGGGCGTAACGATGATAATGTGTCCAATCCTCGCCGTCAATTTTTCATGAGATATATAATATGGGTCCATGTCTGCTGACCACGTTTCATTATTATTTTTGTTTTTTCTTCACAATATAAAATAGAAAAATACCCTAAGAAAAGGAACGGCTTTTATTTTTGGAAAAATCTATGATGAAGAAAAGATAAGGTATGAAAAGGGTTTTGACCAATCAAAACCCACTCGTGAGATTTTGATAAATAATATCATGTTCACTATTATTGGTGGGATATCATATCTTTTCCATATCGTAGTTGTTTAGTGTTAATAATTTAGATTTGCAGTTGGAATCGGAATGGTTTCTTTTCAGTCTTTGGATTAGATAGAAATCAGATTTAGAATTAGAATTAGAATTAGAATTAAAATAAATTGGAATGAAATTTCATTCTTAAGGGAGGGGGAGGGAATGACCGTTCTCTGAAATGGGATTTTAATTCCACACAATCAAACTGTTGGAATTGGAATGACCCTTATTCCTGTAAACCAAACGGGCTCTGGTTTTAAGAAGAGTGAGGTCTTTATTGAATTAAACCAATAAATATTGTTTTGGAATCCCCCTCAATAAATCCAAGGATAAATTAAACACAAAATGTGTTGAATTCCAGCTGGAAAGATGTGAATGTAATTTTGATTGGTTGCATAATAGGATTGAGAGTCAGAAGTTGGCTATCTAATTAAGCGAAAAAGGCGGGACCATTTCTGGTTGTTAATTAGAAAAAGAAAAAAAGGAATAGTCCTTTTTTTCCTTTGAAAGGGAAACAGGGGAATATTGGGTTTTGGAGGAGATCAACTCAAGTCCGTTGTTCCTAACAGCAGGAAATGTTTCCCATATTATAGACGACATTGTGGGTTCAAATGTCGTGAATAAAACTAAAACCAAATGACTTAGTTTCACGTGAAATACAAACAGAGGAATTAGGACACTGAGATTATTATTGTACTGGCGGGCAGCAGAAGAGAAAGGGGGTTGAGCTTCCTCCAAAATCCAAACTAGTCCTGGCAAAGAAAAGTGGAAAACCTATAATTTCGACAGGAGCCCCCCCTTGTTCCAAACTCTCCAGCCACCTAAGCCAGTGATTCGTTGATGTGTGGCGGGAAAAATTGGTGCTAGCTGCTGTAGTGTATGGTGATTGGTGAGATCTGATTTGTATTCTGCAACAATATCATGTGTCGTCTACTCTTCTCCGTCCCCGATTTTCCGTGATTTTCATCAAATTTTTTTTTTTGTTGTTTTTTCTTTAATTTCTGACATATATTAATATTCCATGATTTCATCCGTTGGCGTACACATTGGATTCGAGTCCAGGATAAAGTAACTTTTCTTCGCTTTATTGGTTTCACAAACTAAAGGTGGCCATGAAAAATAAAAAAAACTGAACCGAACCGAGAAAATTGAATCGAAAAATGCGGTTAACGGAATCGATTGGTTCGGTTTTGGTTTGAAATTTTTGAAAAATCGAAGGATTGATTCGGTTTTCGGTTAATCAAATCGATCGGTATATATATTTATATGTATATTTTATAAATATTTTTAATATATGTCACATATTTTCTATGAATTTTATATAAATATATATTCGTTATATATAAATATATACTTATATTATATTTATAATGATCTATTTACAAATATATTATATATTTTTAAAATATTTATAATATATTATATATCATTTATTATTTATAATATAATATTATACATATATTTATATAATATATATTATAAATATAAAAAACCAAAACCGGTGGACTGATTAACCAGTGGTACCGGTTTGGTTTTGGTTTGGTAAAATAAAAAACCAATACTACCGGTTCGATTTACAAAAAAGGGCCATGATTCGATTAACCGAACCGTGGACACCCCTATCCCAAACTAGAACTTTGGGAGAGGATGAGATCCGGCAAATCAGGGTAGGAGTGGCAATTTTTTCAACCCAACCCGTTAACCCGCCCAACCAAACCATTAATTGGTGGGTTGGGTTGTATCCATTTAGTCTCGGGTCTGGTGGATTAGGTAACCCAACAAGGGAGAGACTTAGGATGGGTTGGGTACCCAACAATAATAGTAACTGTTTGGCATCTATGCATTGCTTTAGAGCCATTTTTCTGAGAAAATGGGGTATTTCAGAAAATGGTCCCTTTTTTTGTTTGGCATGATGCTGTCACATGGGATGTTTACTGGGGTAAGGCACAGTCTTATTTGATATCAATATTTTAAAATTGTTTTCAAACATTAGTTTACATATCTAATGGTTTATATAATGCCACATTGATATCACGTCATGACACTGTTGGCAATAATGATTACGAAAATGAGAAAACGCCAAATTCAACATTTCTCAAACTATGCTTTCGTAAATTCCAAGGCATGGCTGTTTTCTTAAACACCAGTTCCAAATAATGTTGCGTTTCTTGGCCATTTACTCATTTGTTGTGGAGTAAAACAGTTTGCTGGTTTGTTTCATTTTTTCCATTGTCCACCTACCGAAATTACTTTCTGGCCATTTACTCATTTGTTGATGATGTTTGTCAACCAAAAAAAAAAATGTTAACAGCGAATGATCAGAAAACTATTACGTATTGGCCGGTATCAATCGATGCATATAATATTGGGCCCTTCCCGATATGTCCTTATAGGGATTGTATCGGGTCAGCACCTGGTTCAGAAGGTAGTCGGAGACTTAAACTGGCTCCTCTAAACCAAAATTAAAAAAAAAAAAGTGGAAATTAAAAAAAAGGGCCGATACTGGCCGATATGCCTTCCTGTTGAATTACCTATGACAGTTGAATACATCAATACTCACTGTGAATCCCATCTGAGACTCGGTTGTATTGAACACTGACGTATCCAACCGTGATAAGTAATTCAGCCGGGTGTGTATGTTTTTGTCTCCGGTTAATCCGCCCACGTATATCACCTCCTCTTGATTGTATAATTGCACTGGTAGAGTTACGGAGATGCACTGCACCTGGAAGGTAAGCGGCAAGAACCCATAATCGAATTTGGCAAAAAAGTGCATCTGACTGTAGATTTGATATGTTTTACATGTTTTTCTTTCCAAAATTCAATTTTCTTTCTATCTACTGTTCTAATTTTTAATGAAAGCCGTTTGACAAGCTGAGGTGGCTGAACTGAATTGTTTATTACTTTTTTCTTTTAGTAGATAAAAGTAATCAACCCAATTTCTCAACATGCTCATACGGTTCCTTAATGACTTATGCACTAAAAGACAAAAATAGAAAGCATTCAATTTCAGTTCGGATCACGTTTAATGAACACTCGAAAATATTTTTGACACTTGTGCTTGAAATTCCTCAGCCCACCCTTAAAAAAAATTAAAATCCACTTTTGACGATTGTCAAAATACTTATAAGCCAAAAAAAGTACTTATTAAGTGCTTATTTAACGTATTTACTTAGGTTGTGCCTACAAGATCCGGTACCAACTCAATTCAGCCTTCAGCTGTAATCAAACGGCAGCCCTTAATACCTTTTTGACAATCTCTATAAGTATATAACTCTGATACTGAACTTCTTCCGTTCTTCGTCTGGTCCGACGATGCCAAAAATAATAGTATAATACCAAGAAAAATTACTACTAGACTACTAGTAGAACTGTAGAAGAGGAACCAATTTTGTTGCTCTCTTCTCATATCTCATTCATTATAAAATTACGAAAATACCATCTTATATAATTTATATATCAATAGAAACAAGTTAGAAGTTTCAGACAGCTCAAGACTCTCTCCTCCTATCAATAGGATTTCCTGCCGATTTTTTCACGATTTCCCCGCCATCTTCTGAATCTATCCAATATCGCATCTCAATTTTCAGGTGTTTTGGATTCGTTGGAGATGGCAAGAGAATGAGGATTTGCCCGCGATTATGTCTCTATCTTACTCCGATTGCTCCTCCGACCTCCTTTGTTGCGAGGATGCCGGAATCTTGGACGGAGACTCGCCGGAATACTCTCAAGAAATTGAATATCCTGCCGATACCAAGGAGTCCATTGCCGGTTTCGTCGAAGACGAAGGAGACTACGTGCCGGAACTCGATTACCTCGCCAGGTTTCAGTCTCGATTGCTGGATGCTTCAGCAAGGCAGGAGTCCGTTGAATGGATCCTCAAGGTACCATGGAATCCAATGAACTTTTCTTTTATTTTATTTTCACTTCTCTTTTCCTTCGCTTGCGTGCGCAGGCGAGGCTTCGGACAACGAGGCGTATGTTAAGTTTAAGTATAATTACCACCCCAATGCCATCGCCCATCGCATGCTGGTTTTGCGCGGGAAATCAGAACGCGCATGTTAGATTGTATCGTTCGACGCTTCGACCTGCTAACTTGTGCTGGTGGCCGTTGTCACCTGTCGGGAGCAGGAGATCTGTGCGTCGCAAACCGCAATCCGGTTTCAGCTACATGCCGCGATGAGAATCATTCATCATACAGTTGATCTTCCGAGTCTGCTAATTAACTCGGGCTGATGCATTAACCGGAGCCCGATGATTTCATCAATCGGATCCACGGCGTCCGGTGGCCGTGGGCCCACCGGAACTGCCGGAGGGAGGAGCAAGTTAATTTCTTCTGGAGTGTCGGGGTTTCTTTTGTAATGTATATTATGTGAATTAGTCTGAAATAGAAGCCATGACCAGCGGGGCACTACTGTTGTACAGGTACATGCGTTCTACCATTTCCATCCAGTAACGGCGTATCTTTCCGTCAATTATCTGGATCGGTTTCTAGCTTCTGATCGCCTCCCGGTAAGCTTTCGGTCACTGTCTGTTTAATTTAACCAGTAGTTCGAATAGAACTAGAAAGAACTTCGTAGTCCTAATTCCTAGGTTTTATTATTTAATTTAATGACGATATTATTGACTTTTTTTTTTAATCAAAGATGAAAAAATCCACCCAAACACGTTCCATTTTTTTTTCTATTTTTTTGGGTTTAACACTATTAACTATTAAATGCTTATCCACTAGGCTTAGGCATTGGCCAATAATGTATAATTGTGTACATAGAATGATACAGTATAGAGTCTACACGAGTACACCGGTGAAGCCATCTACGTATGTTGTCTATAATTCTATAAATGATGTCGACAGATCTGGACCGATCAACTGTCGCCCTATCACTTCGATACATCAATTTTTAATGATGTATGCGAGATTCATTTTACATTTGATTGGATGGCTAGGATCGTCCAATTATGAAATGGCCCACCCACTTGGGTGGGGTGTACAATGCTTTATGCCATCGTCGTTGTCTTGATATCATTCTCCAATCTCCATATTTATATAAAAAAAAAAATCCCCTTTCTTTTACTGCTTTTAGAGGATAAATCACTTTGCGTTTTTCTTCAAGGAATTACTAAATCAATTTCATACTCTATTTGTTTTGGGACCCTAATTTATGTTAAGTCCTGTAATATATATTTGGTAGACACATCACAAGCCACAGAAGTGAGATAGAAATAAAGATTAATAATCGTTTATGGGCTAATATATATTATTCATTTTATTGGTTTCAGCAAGCAAAGGGGTGGCCATTACAACTTTTATCAGTTGCCTGCTTGTCATTGGCTGCTAAGATGGAGGAACCCCTTGTTCCTTCCCTTTTGGATCTCCAGGTACTTACCTTGTTCATGTACGTCTCGCAAGGACACGACAAAAACTATTTTAAAGTTCCAACACTCCTAAAAATCATTTTATTTTTCTCTTTTTTTCCGGTAGGTTGAAGGTGCAAAGTTTATCTTCGAACCAAGAACTATACAAAGGATGGAGCTCCTTGTCCTTACCGCCTTGGACTGGAGGCTACGGTCCATCACACCCTTCAACTTTATTAACTACTTTGCCTACAAAGTTGATTCCACTGGGAGCCTTACTGCTTTCCTTGTTTCACGAGCCACACAAATTATCCTAGCCATTATACGAGGTAATTACTAATTAAATTACATATATATCTATACCTATGACTTATAGTATTTTTGTTGTGTACATGTATAGTTAAAATTAAATCAAGACATATTAATTGTTCTCTACAAATCCATCTAAAATAGAACATACCATGTTTTTAATACGATGCAGAGATCAGTTTTCTAAATTATTGGCCGTCATCAGTAGCTGCAGCTGGCATACTTTGTGCGGCCAAAGAAATTCCAAATCTATCTCTTCTTGTTAACCCTGGGATTGCTGTATCGTGGTGCGATGGACTAAGCAAAGTAAGAATGCATTATGATTATGGTTGGGCTTGGGCATGTGTTTAAAACAAAACAGCTGTGCCAACTCCAGAACGTATCCGTTTTTGCAGGAAAGGATTGTCAGTTGCTACAGGTTAATGCAACAACTTGTGGTTGACAATCGCCGGAGAAAGCCCCCAAGAGTCCTACAACAGCTCCGAGTAACGACTCCCACCGGAATCGATTCTGCTGATTCATCTTCTTCATCCTCCTCATCCTCCAACAAAAGAAGAAAACTGAATAACTGCTTATGGGTAGATGATGACAAAGACAGACTTTGAGATGAACCACTGGAATAATGGATGGAAACGAGAGAGAGAGAGAGAGAGAGGAGAAAGGAAATAAATAATATTTGGTGGGTGGTCCACGCCTGTCCGAAATCCTCATTATTTTTGGGAGGATTTAGAGATTAATTTGACTTGAAAAATGTTAGTTTAGATGATGTATGAGAGCTTTGAAAGCTGGGGATCTTTTTTCTTTAATTTGTGTGTGAGAGTGTGAGTGATTGAGTTGCCATTGATCAAATGGTTTGGTGATAGGAGTGCAGATTCCCAAGGGATGGGAATTTATTAAATCTGTAATTTCTTCTTTTAGAGAGTGGGATAAGTTTAAAAGTGGACTGGAGTCATGGAGTATGTATGAAGTGGGTGATTGAATTCAAAGGAAGCATCGATTGTTTAATGAAAGGGAAGAGACGGTGGGGTGGGGATGGAGGGGCCATTCGGAGATGGAGGGAATGAAAGAGAAAGCTATCAAAGTGGGTTGGCATTTGGCAAAGTAAGGAGGAATTGAAGTTTGAGTTGGTGATGTGTATGAATGGTCGGTCAGTTTCTCTCATTCAGGGAACCATCATTACTTCAACAGAAATTTAACAAAGGAAAATAAAAATGGCTCCACGTATACTTTTGGGAGTGGTATGTCATATGTGTGTCCATGTTTTATGGTTGCGTGATCACACGAGTGTATGTGTGTTTTATTTGGCGGGAATGGCCCAAATCGGGCCATGGCCTAACTATACCAGACTCTTTTTTTTTTTATTATTCGGAGTGGTTTTCCACACGAGCGTGTATTCATTTCTTTCTTTGCTTTTCTAATTTCTTTTTCTTGGGAGGGGAGGAAGTCCCTCTTGGGAAGGCCGGAGTTTGGCCTAACAAATAGAAAGGTCTTTGGGGCCTTTTAGGCGTGTTGTATTTGTTGATATAAGGATAGAATTTTATAGTTGATTACATATAATTATTTCTTTCAGTCTGGATCTCTCTGACTCTCTCTCTCTCTCTCTCATTGTATATTGTGTTGCATGGCATGTGAGTGACAACGAGACTCTTTGTAACTTTGCCATTTGTTTTATTCACCGTGTGTTGGACTTGTATGGCCAATTGCAGCATTTGTATTAGCTGGTCCCGTTGCAGCTCACAAGATAAGACTCCTGTCTAGAGGAAATTAATGGTCGTCGTCAGCCCTCGGGAGACAAATCCATGGACATGTGCATGTCCTCTCTCACTATAACTTTTCCCAGCTTTAAATTCCTCCTAATTAATTATCAACTTTTACCTCATACTTTCACATCATTCTCCATTTAGTCCATGAAGAAAAATAATACTATATCTTCTACATTAATTGATTTTTATATTAATTAATGCATCTAAACTACTATTGCATCATATATATACTACATCTTCATAGCTCCAAATTAAATGTGAAACACAACCCAATGGCAATAAGCAATAGCGGATGCATGATGTTAGAATCTCAACCGTCTAATAAGATTTAAACTTTGATCAATCCTAAATGGTCTATGAATGCAACTATCAAACTATCGTCCAAGTGTAACATATACGAATGTGTAGCTAGGAATCTTGAGAAAATGTCAAAGGCTTTTAGTTTCTTAGTCTTTTTTGTTTTTGTCATAAAGAGAAAGAGAGGGAGCTACTAATTAAGTACTTACGTAGAGGTAGAGTTGAGAGTTGTATATACAATGTGCTTCTCGAATGACCCACCAAGAAAATGAGCCATCTTGCCCAAGATTCCCCGACATACAGTCTATTGTTTTAAATAAAATGACACGCACAGTCAAATGGCCCAGCGCTCCATGGGTCCATGCTATAAGTTTTTAATAGCAAAAACTTAGATTAATTTCGTTGTAGTTGTGGGAAATGGGCACGGCATAGTCGCCGTGCAATGCGACCTAACAGATCACGGGCCGAAGTAGTAAACCAAAAGACAGGGAAGGGAATTGAATACAAGTGTTAGTGAATGACTGATGAAGACTAAAGACTCCAGCACTGTGAAATGTGAAGTGTGAAGGTGAACTCATGATACTTCACCATCTGCTGTTATCATCGAGGGCCAACCTGGCTCCATAACCCTTGTTAACGGACGGTCCTGATTGCTGCTACTCTGTGGACTTTGTCGTCTCCATTCAAGGACGACGATGGCTACGTGCCTCCTCATGTGTATACAAGTCGTACCGTCTCTTGGTGTCCTTAATTGGCCTTGCGCACATGGCCATCAGCCACAAGACAAGAATTCACCGATCCGTGGGTTCCACCCCAGGAGGAAAAACAACTACACTGCGACAATCTTAACAATCAATCTGCACTTTTCTACCGTTGATTCTGTACTGCGTTGTTCAATATCTTTTTTGGACGATTCGCAGTTTGATCGACGACAGTTTGGACCACCGGATTACGACAGTTTACGGGCTACCATGGACACTAACTCAGAAGACTACGTCTGTGTGTTCAATTTTGAATTTTGATTATGATGAATTGAAATAAAAAGGGTAAAGTGCGATGATAATCAAAGATATATATAGGCGGCCTGTGCTTGCTGCATCTACAAAATTAAAGAACCATCCACGTCGCCTGTTGTGTTTACAAGATAAGTAGATATTAGATAACCCCTAAATCTTTGGTAAATCATGATTTTGAGTTTGATATTATCAAATATGATCCCCCAGTGTAGTACTGTCTACTTATTAAGGCCGTAGCCCGTGGATTGAGTTAATTTCAACTTTCAACCTGGAGGCCCACCATACGCGGTATGCGGTACTGTGGAACCCACTACATCATCATATGGGCTACCATTAAGCTATTTACTGGGTCGAAAATTGTGGGACCGGCAATAGTTGGATCTTTTATTCTTACAAAGTAGGCCCCATCATTTAATAAGTTTTGTAGAGTTGGTGATGATAATCCGCTTATAGGAGGAATTGGTGGGGAAAGTTTTTTGATAATTAAAGGGAGAACAAACAAAGATGAGACCCAAACAAATCCATTACTAATGAGTAATGAGATCATAAAATTTTGTGGGACCAGCGTGTTTTCCTAGTAGAAAGGCCACTGGATGGATAATTAAAAGTTGGGGTTGGTGATCAATATTGACTTTATTATCACAACAGACACACACATACACAGAATTAGTAATCTCACCAACATTAAGTTCATGCTCAAGGGCAGAAAAAATTTAAAATTAAAATTAAAAAAAAAGTAATGAGAGAGGAGAGGACCCCAATGTCTAATTCTATTTATACAAGTTAATATTATTTGAATAAAGAAATTGGGGTTGAGGAAGTGAATGAGAGGGAGTGTTTTCTTTTATTGGTACTCAAATCGGAGCAACCCCACTTACCTTTTTATCTCATCAAATTGCTCTTCAAAGTGAGAGGAATCCTAAGAATAAACCCAAAAGCCAAAGACACTTTTGATGGCAATGAAAGGAAGGGGGAGGGGAGCAGAATCTAGTCCTCTTTAAGTACCAATATATAGATCATATAACTATTTACCAAGAAAACTCTCTTTCCAGGGGAAAGAGAGTGGGCATGACAAAGTGGGATAGGACCCCTAGATTTCTTACCTTTTGGTTGTAAAAACATGCTCGTGGGGTTCATACGTATGTCCTCAGTGTAGTCAAAAGTGGGAATGATTCCCAATCCATTTTATGCGGAATGCAAGACACCACCTCTCTCTCTACTCTCATCAGATGTCCCTGTCCCCCAGCACATTTCATTTTTCAGAATAACACATGGAACAAAACAGAATCAACGTTCTTTCTGCTTCATCAGGTTTATGTTTAACAACAATTACTTTGTATTTCAAGGAGAAACAAACTGGTGTGATAACCTATGGGCTATATACATAACTGTTGCTGTTCATGATTTAATTAAGCTGGAATTGAATGCAGAGATTATAATTAATTAATATTGCTTTTGTGCATATATACAACAATACAGCTCCTATCTATATAAATATTAAAATCATTGCATTTGTCTATGTTAGACAGGTAGAGGGTGGCAGTTTTGGAATCCGATGAATCACATAGTGTTTTAGTAGTGGATTCATAAGATTTGACAATATATTGTAATTGGTTTAGTAGTTATTAGTACAACAACAAGGTTTATAATGACACATATATAATAAAGACATAATGAACAACACACACACACAGAATGCCAAAAACCCGTGTCTCAAGCTCCATTATAATTAATTAATCAAGTATTGTTCATTCATAATAACTAATAAGCTCATGTGATTGGTATTATTATTGGTAAGCTAGAAATAACGAAAGAAGGCAATGGAATTCCATAAGCATAAAGTACTGGAATGTGGAATCTTACACACGTGGAGTTGGGTATTTGGCCTACTGTTTGGAGGAAAGTAAGCAATACATCATGTAGTGAGTGTCTGTATATGACTCACTTAGGGGACCATCTGAAATTCTGAATCGACTCACCTAGCCCTACAAAGATATTGATGCTCTTTTTAATTATCATTACTATCAATTTATGAACAAGTGTGTTTCAGCCACTGAGGAACCTAAGCATCTCATCGTCTGCCTGGCCCCACTCTGAGCTTTCCACCTCACATTCCCCTCTTGGGTTCCTGGAGGGAGCCTGAGCGTCGTGTTGTTCTTTATTGCTTTTGTGTGAATTGTGGTAACTGTCCCTACCCTTCATTCATCCGGGAGTGGAGACAAAAGGTCATCTGTTCAATCATCAGGAATCACATCTCTTCATCAAACCCATGTTTTCTTTTCCCTCTATCCCTCTGTGTCTATTTTTCTTTTCTTGGCAAAATTGTAACACCAAACCCCAAACCACTTTAGCTGGAAACTCTGTGGTAGTTCAATGGCACTGTCAAAGTGATGCAATATGTAAGCAAAGTCAGAGAGAGAGAGAGAGATGACGCCCTCATTTCCAACAAGGATAGAAGTTAACATAGAATTAATGGATCATTAAAGTTGAATTTGCTTTAATTTGTTGATATGTACGTAGTAGAGATTATCATGTCTACCAATTTGGTGGAATTATTGGTTTTGTAATTTGTAGGGGTTATTTCTTTATCAACTTCTTAAATTTGGTTTAACTTCAGGTTAATTAGACAAACACTTAAATACTAATAATGTGTTGGAAGGGAGTTGAGAATACCAGTATCTTCTCTGTTCATATGTAAATTGTAATAGTAGATATAACTCGAACGCCTGTTTCTTTTGTTGTTGTTTTAAATGATAATCATTCGATTTCAACAAACAAAGTTGACAAGCCTGTCGAGCTTTAACAGTAATCGTGGTCTTAGGGACTGACATACATCTAATTATCGCCTGCCTGCAAGGGGACCTATCATGCTGTCACTTTGGGGACGGCATTTCCATAATAGGCCTTGGGTTAGTTCTACACTTGTACATTTGGTTGCAGCGCAAATCTTGACCGGCTGCAAATCAGTAGCCGATACAGTTTTTGCTTTCATTTGTTTGTAATTATGATTTATATTTCTACCTATAAGTTATAATATTATATAATTAAATTGAATTACACCAAAAGCAAAACAAATATTTGATTTATATGATATAGATACAAAATTTTCATTTTTTTTTTCTGTCTCTTTTGCATTCATTGGCGGTGCAAATTTTGCACCCTAAAAATTGATGTAAAATTTGCACCACTTTTGTTCCTACCTCAATAGTCGATTCTTTCTCATGGAAATTGTAGCACTACATCATCAATAGTCAATTCTTTCTCATGCTAATTGTACCACTTTCTTCCTTCCAGCCTTCCCTTACTTCTCACAAACAAATAAGACAAAGTAAATCAAAATTTACACTCATTCCTTCTACACTTCCATGCATTTACACCAGTGAAAAATGAAATTTATACTGCAACCAAATGCAGAATTAGCGGTCAAATCTGCATTCTAAAGTCTCCAATCCCCATGGAAGGAAAAAAAAAAAAAAAGAATTGAAAGATACCTTCTCCAA